CGATTATAATTCCCAAAAATGAATTGAAACATTCCTGGGGCTCTTTAAGGAGGCTGACAGGAGCGTTGATATATTATACTCTAGGACAATAACATAGTAGTAGTAGTAGTAGTAGCAGTAGTAGTAGTAGTATAATCGTAGTAGTAGTAGTAGTAGTAGTAGTAGTAGAGTAGTAGTAGTAATCGTAGTAGTAGTCGTAGTAGTAGTAGTAGTAGTAGTAGTAGTAGTAGTAGTAGTATAAGTAGTGGTAGTAGCAGTAGTAGTAGTAGTAGTAGTAGTAGTATAGTAGTAGTAGTAGTAGTAGTAGTAGTAGTAGTAGTAGTAGTATAGTATAGTAGTAGTACTAGTACTAGTACTAGTACTAATAGTAGTAGTATACTAGTAGTATACTAGTAGAAGTAGTAGTCGTAGTAGTAGTAGTAGTAGTAGTAAAGTATAGTAGTACTAGTAGTAGAAGTAGTAGTCGTAGTAGTAGTAGTAGTAGTAGTAATGGAATTATGAATATTAGAAGCCAAGAGTGAATTGAAAAAATCCTGGGGCTCTTTAAGGAGGCCGACAGAAGCGTCGCAGTAGTAACAGGCCAAAGGTTCTGATTCTACGCTGCGGGGCCTCTATCACAGGGGGCAGCGGAATTGTTGATTTGGACATTCTGCGACAGACGCAGTTCTGAGATTGTGTCTTCTGTAATGTTGAGGTCCTCCTCCTGCTCCTGCTTCTCGTCCTCCCCATCCAGTCCAATAAGGCAATTGAGTTCCCTGGATCGCTTCTGTTTCCATTGCTATTGCGGCCCAAATTTCTTTCAACGCTGGCCCGTGCGAGGACGGTGCCTCGGAGAAATGGCTCCGAAGAAGCGACCCGCGAGGGCAAGGCCGGATGATGATGACGACAGTGACGGGGAGGAGGCGAGGGCAGAGGACGTCGAGGCATTGGCTGATGTGTTCGTGAAATACATCACAGGCCCGAATGCTTTGAAGTACGGCGAGAAGGGCAGACTTTCGAAACTACATCGGGACCCGCGACTACAGAGACACCAATGCAAACTCTTGGGGAATCGTGGATCGAAAACCGCCTGGGATGTTTCTGCAGGCCCTGGGACGCCGTCATTTGAACCAGATTTTTGTTGGGACCGAGATCAGTTTCAGAAAAATCCGAAAGAACTACCGCTATGCCCCTCTACCCTCTGGACTCCAGTAGCATTCCAATTGGATTTTCGTTGGGTTCCTGCTGGGTTCCCGTGAGGTTCCCGCTGGGTTCCCGCTGAGTTCCCGTTGGGTTCCCGTTGGGTTCCCGTTGGGTTCCAATGCAAGGGCGGGCCTTCCTGTGGACACGGGAGCCAGACGGGAACCGAGCGGAAATTTGACGGGAACCTGGCGGTAACCCAGCGAGAACCTTGGATGCCCCAGGAGAGGTTGCAGAACTACATCCCGCTGGTGAAAAGCATCAGCGATGCGCTTGGGAGGTACTCGGTCAAGAGCTCGGTCGTGAAACCAGCGTTGCAGAAGGTGTCTAGGGAATACTGTCGCACCGAACCTTTGATCCCCTTACAATGTTCTCTTCTCCGACTCCCAAACCTTCCCCTCGCTCTACTCTCACTCCAACTCTCAACCTCCCCCTCCTCTCGTCCTCATCCCCTCGCCCTTGCACCTGCACGGGTCAACTGTATTCCTCCCCAGATGTTAGAAGATTCGGCATGGCCCACCAGCAAGTACAAAACAGGGGGGCGATTGCATCAATAATGGATTCGGACAACTAGCTTGAGACTCAAAACGCTGGGAACTCACTGCCAGGACCTTCGTCGTCTGAAAAGGAAATGGTTCACCAGGGCCCGGGGCAAGAACAAAGAAGTACATAGAAGAGGGCCACGGCAGTTACGATGGTTTCCCCTCGGACGACTTCGGCAAGTCAGACGACGAAGAGGAGGAAGAGGAGGCTGAGGGCGACTTCGAGGAGGACGATGCTGAGGGCGGCGAGGAAGGCGGGGAAGAAGAGGCCAAAACCAATGACGAGGAGTTAGATGAGGCTGAGGCTGACAACACTGAGATCAGAACAAAACCCGCGGCCGCTGCTGGGCCGACAGATGAGGAGAGCATCGGTCTGGCTACAAAGGCCAGCGCTGAGGTCGGAAAGAAACCTGCGGCTGCAGCTGGGCCAGAGGATGAGGAGGGAAGCAATGAGGAGGAAGCTCATGAGGGCAACGCCAAGAAGAGACCTTCAGCCGCCGCTCCAGCCGATTTCGACGAGGAGAATTTCGCTTACGGGTACGAGAGGGATACGCGAAAAGCCTGGCGCAAGCACTACAAAGCCCTGAAATCGGCGCCCCGAGATTACGGAGTGATGCGAGTGCCACCAGGTCGAGGGGGGTGCGAATGTCGGGCGCAATTTTCTCTCATCTATCCATCTCATGTCTTCTCTCATCACCATCCCATATGTTTCTGCCTACTCTTTCTCCTTCTACTCCACCCGCTCCTTCACCGCCCCATCCATGTCGAGAGGGTTCGGGGGCCGCTCAAGAAAACAGCATGTGTTGCGATATGTGCAGGTGCTAAGCCCCACGATCCGATGCAGGTGATCTTCAGCAACGCAGACAAGTCGACCACCGCGCGCTTGGTACCCCAGGACAGCAGGGGTATAATGAGGGCATTTCTATGTCCAGCCTCCACCTTCCTTCTCATTCACCCCTCCTCCCCCCCCTCATCTCGACCCCGGCTCTAGGGGTCGAGGGAGAAAGGGGGGAAGATGAGGAGAGGAGGAGGAGAAGGAGGAGGAACCCCCTCCTCCTCCTCCTCCTCCTCCTCCTCACTCCTACTCCTCCTCCTCCCTCCTGGTTGCTCATCCGCCTCCCCGATCCCTCTCCTCCTCCTCCTCCTCCTCCTCCTCCTCCTCCCCCTGATCCTCCTCCTTCTTATCATTCTACACAAGTGCCCAAGGGGGGATCGCCGACGTGACGGTCCTCCATGTCGTTCCCCTCCTCCTTCTCTTCTGCTTCTTTCTCCTCCTCCTCCTCCTCCTCCTGCTCCACTTCCTCCTCGTCCTCATCCTTCTCTGATTGTGCTTCTAGCGGAGGTGACCGTGGCGGCGTGGAAAGCGCCCGACCCAGCCCTAGAGGCCGCGCGCGGGAAACAAGTTCACCAAGCTCTCCCCCCTCCTTGCGGCCATGGCCGCGCCCTCACCCCGCGGCCATCAGAGGCCAAGAAAAAATCGAAATCTTCGACCTTGGATCGTGAGTGGGGAATCCGAACGGGGGGGAGCTAACGTGGATTTGGGCTTCCCCACGCGAGGCATCGCCAAGCAGCTGCATCAAACAAGACCCCGAGAGCAGCACATTCAACAAAAAATAGTGATGATCAGGCAGGGGTCTGGGTCCAGAGTCGGTGGTATCGCCCCAATGGCAACGAAGACCGACAACGCCTGGTGATGCTTAAAGAATACGCGGATCAGGGGAAGGAGAGGCAACTTTGCAACGTGGACAGCGCGTGGTTCCAGGGCGGCGAGGACGAAGCGATAGGGTGGATGAACGGCGTCGCCAAAAAGTACTCGGCTGGGACGATCGATAGAGAGGGGGTGACGAAGCTGAAGGCGAAGGTGGTCCCGCAGGCCAGGATGAAACGCCCTGCAGCCGCTGAGTGCAAACCACAACCAACTGCTGATGGCGATGGTGGGCAAGCTGAGGCTGGCCCCGAGGAGACATCGAGCCCCAAGAAACCGCGCAAGGCGACCGAGCCCCAGAAGATTATCGAGCCCCCGAAGGAGACTGAGGACCCGAGCACGCCACAGCCCATGAAGAAGGCCAGGGCCACTCGTGCTCCCGAGGTGGTTCCCTCCCCCGATGAGCCCTCGCCCCTGAGGCCGCCGCCGTCGCTCTTTTTGTAGACGCGCTGGGAGGGCGGTGAAAAAAACTTCAGGCTCCTGGGCCCCAGGCCCTTCGAAGGCAGCGACAATACACATTCTGGTCGACAGAGAAATCGACTTTGGGCTAGAGGCTAGAGGTCGAATCAAGACGTTCGTCGGCTTCTGGTCGGGACCGCAATGCGTTCGGGCGACCCCCGACCCCATCCCCCGCCCATTCCATTCAACAACAACCGACCCCGCTCGATAGCAAACAATCTACGGGGGTGCGGGCAGCGAGCTTTTTCCCGACTGCGAAGAGTTAGCACCATTAAATCCGAAATGACAGCGGACGGGAAAACCTTGGGTATATTCGAACCCACGCAAAGTTTTTTGGAAACGATGGGGCCGAGTGAAACCTTCAGGTGATACATGTTTCTCGTTTGGCTCCGAATCCAGGGCCGTCGAAACCCATGGTTATCGATATGCGCAGTGTGTTGGCCCAAAGCAAAGGGAAAACAACATTTTCACATACGCATGGCTTCCCTTGCCGACGGCGTTCGGCGCATGGAGCAGCAGCAGGAGCAGCTCGTGGCCCAGGGGCAGGAGACCCTCGCATCGCTCGGCCAAGGTGGCGCTGGCAGCCAGGTGCCCATATCAAAATCGGGTGGCCCTATAGTCGACCCCCCATTCCGACTTCTCTCGCTTAAAGGGGGGCCCTCGACCCCTGTTCCTCTTAATGCTGCTCCTCACCCCATCCTCCTCCTCCCCCTCCTCCTCTTCCTCCTCCTCCTCCACGTTCTCGCCTCCTTCTCATCCCGATCCCGCTTCCGATAATCCCTCCTCCTCCTCCCCCCCCCCCCCCTCCTCCTCCCTCATCCTCCTCCCCTTCCTCAGCCTCCTCCTCCTCCTCCTCCTCCTCCTCCTCCTGCTCTTCCTCATCCTCCTCCTCCTCCCGTCGTCCTCCAGTGGTCCTCCTGCCTTTTGTTATCAGCCCCGCGAGGCCATCACGCAAGTCGGCCTCACAGGCAGCTCCGTAGGCTCGGCGGAACCCTTGCCAGCCACCGTGCCAGGGCATGTCTCGCCGACGCCTCCTGTCGTCCAAGGGGATGCGTCGACCCAGCACTACGCTCCGATGCGCAGGGCAGCGTCTAGCGGCCCCCACCTCCGCGCAGCAGACCGTCGAGAAGCAGAGCGTTCAGATTTTCTCAGAGGAGACGCAACCCGACGCCCTGCCGCCGCCGACATTCGAGGAGCTCGGCCTCAGCCCGTCGCCCGAGAGCCAAGCAGCGGCGGCGCCCTCGGCGTCAGCCGAGGCCACGGGCGCGCCCGTCGAGACTCCAGCAGGCGCGCCTGCGGCTGACGTATTCACTGATATGCTCGCATCAGAGCTGGAGAGGATGAACGTGTCCCAGACGCAGCAGGCGGCCGCGCAATCCATTCAGATGGTGGACCTCGACTCGCAGCTGATCGAGCTCTTCAAGCAGATGCAGGGGCAGGCTGGCTGGGGAGAGGCAGAAGAGGACGAGGCTGGCTGGGGAGGGGGCGTGAAGGAGGCCGACCCAGTGCTGGAGGCATGCAAAGCTGGTGGATGGTATGTGAAGGCCAAGACTCCAATATACAGGCGTTTCCGGCTCTGGCTGAAGAACCACCAGTCTGAGAAAGAGGAATGCGATTTGATGAAGGGCCACGAGGCCGAGCAGTATCGGGCTAGGTGGGCCAAGAAACGCTACGACGAGTACAACGAGACCCGCGCCGAGATGCAAGAGACCAGGCAGTCTAAGCGCAAGGTCGGCATGCTGATGAACATTGACAAGATGATCAAAGCTGAAGGGGGGGGCCCATTCACCTGCTGTAGTGCAGGGTTGCATCAATAAAGCCAAAGCGTGCATCCGCAGGGGGCCGCCGCACATGGAACTGAACAAAGACACTGGCCGCCTGGAGTCCGCCTACTCTGAGAAGACCACCATCGACGAGGAGCCCGACATCTGGAGGAACAAGAAGCAAGAGGAAAAAATCCCAAACGACTTCGCGAACGCACGGCCAGGGCCGCTGAGGAGGAGGAGGAGACCGCCACCCCGCAGAAGGTCGCGAAGGTCACGGCTGCAGCGGCTGCAATGGCATCAGTGGAGGTCAAGGGCATCATCAAGGCTATCATCGAGCACGGTTCCACTGCGTCGGCTGCAGCGTCTGAAGCTGCTGGTAGCGACGCTGGGGCTTTACTTGGATATGAGGACGACACGGCGTCTGAAGCTGCTTATGGCGCCGATGATGACGACATGGGGAGTGCTCCTGCCGCGCCGAGGCAGGCCGCGCCGAAGCCCGCCAAGAGCAGCAGGGGCAAGAACAAGGACGGAAAGGGCAAGGGCAAGGGCAAATATGGCATCGGCAAGGGCGCTATCAAGGGCAAGGGCGGCAAGAGCAAAGGTGCTAAAACCAACGACCGTGCGGGCGGTGGCAAGCGTGTCTCTCCTCAGGGCAAGTCAACCGAGAAGCAGCTCAAGGAGTTCATGTCGGACTACAGCATGGGGCGCCAGCGCGGGGAAACGCTCGTGAAGAAGATTACGAATGACATCGAGGGGTGGGGCAGGATGCAGAACTTCGCCCCGAAGCTCCAGAGGGCGCTCACGGCGATGGTCGAGGCCGATCGCGACGAGGAGGAAAGGAGGAGGATGAGGAGGAAGTAGAGGAAGTAGAGGAGGTAGATGAGGTGAGGAGGGAAGGAGAGAGGAGGGGTTGGATGAGAAGGATGAGGAGGACAGGGGATGCGGATGAGGAAGAACGCGAGGTGCATGCGGAGGGGGTGGAGGAGAAACAGTTGAGGAGGAGGGATGAGGAGGCTAGGGGGTGAGGATGAGGAGGAGCACGAGGAGGAGGAGGAGGAGGAGGAAGAGGAGGAAGGAGGAGGACGACGAGGAGGAGGGGTAGGAGAGGAAGAGGAAGAGGAAGGAGGAGGAGGAGATGGGGGAGGGAGGAGGAGGGAGGGACGGAGGAAGGAGGGAAGGAAGCGGGCCCAGCAGGCTGGCGACAAGGACGAGTTCTTCGGTTACCTGCTTGAGCAGGGCATCGGGGCCACGAAGGACTTGAGATAGCTTGCCTCCTTCTCCTTCTCTCTCCTCCTCCTCCTACCTCCTCCTTCCTCCTCCTTTCCTCCTAATCATCCCACCATCCTCCTCCTCCCCTCTCCTCTTCCCGTCCTACTCGTCCTCCTCCTCAACTCCTCCTCCTCCTCCTCCTCCTCCTCCTCCTCCACCTCCTCATTCGCCTCCTCGTTCAACCTGCTCATTGGCCGCCTCCCCCCCCCTCCTCCTCCTCCCTCCTCCTCCTCCTCCTCCTCCCTCCTCCCCCCCCTCCCCCCCATCCTCCTCCTCTTTCCTCCTCCTCCTCCTCCTCTGTCTCCCACCCTATCTCCATTGCGTTCGTCTTTCTTTTCCGCCTAGCCCTAGGATTACTACGGAGAGGGGGACTTCCACGTGAATGCGATGGAGACCATCTCCTTGAGCTCAAAGGTCGAGAAGAGCAAGGCGGCCCGTGAGAACCTCTTGACAATTACAACCTGGGGGCCGACTCGGACGATGACGACGTGGTGGGCTAGCTGCGCCTGCTCGAGGCCATCAGCCTGAGCTCTCGATCCATTTTCTTTAGGTCAGCCCCTCGAATTGCTCCCAGATCTGCTTTTCCTGGACGAGTTTTTTTCGAGCAGTTCCAACCCTCGATCGGGGCCCCATCCCCTCGAGAGACCCAAATGGTGAGGGAGCAAAGTGTTTTTCCGTCTTCTCCTGTTCCTCCCCTCCTTTCCCCTGCTTCTCCTTCTCCTCCTCCTCCGCCCTTCTCCTCTCCCCCTCCTCCCTCCTCCTTCTCCTTCAATCTCCTGAGCCCCCTCCCGTGCTGCAGCGCGCGGAGGGGGTTCAGTGCTGGGGTTTTCAAAAAGGTTAAGAAGCTGTACCCTTGAACCCCTCGCCTGGATCGAGAGCTCTTCTTAGAAAATTCAGCCTGCTCGAGGGTCGAGCGGGATTCACGGGGGCGACTTGAGCTGCGGATCGAGGCTCGACGTCGTGTGCGGGGTGTTTGCTGCAGAGAAATAAGCGAAGTCAGGATGCGATTTCGATCTTTCTTGCCAGTTACAGAGCCCGAGAAGAGTGGGCAATAGCGTTTGGATGATAGAATTTCATTGTCAGGGATCGCTTGTACCCAAACACGAAAGAAAAAAACACACTCGGACCAAATTCGAGGATGCAGAAAACCACCGGGAACCCACCGGGAACCCACCGGGAACCCGCCGGGAACCCAGGGCGTTTCGCCTGATACATCCTCACAAAACTGACCGGGGACCCACCGGGAACCCACCGGGAACCTCGCGGGAACCTTTCGGGAACCTTTTGGAACATGTTTTGGAACCCATCGGAGCCTCATCGAGGCCCCAGCGGAGGTCCGAAGGACCTCGACAGACGTTCCTCGGTCATTGTTTTGGCTGCCTCCCAAAGTAATCCAAGTGCTGATCTGAAAAATCTCAGGCGTTTCTGACATCGAACATCCTTTGCGCTCTCTGATTCGGCATCAACAACCGAAGTAAACATCAGGCGGAATGAAAAAAGGAAGGGTAAAGGATGAGGACAGGTGGATAGTGGAGAGGACTAGGACATGAGAACGAACTTCAGCGAGTGAGGTAGCAAGACAGGAGGAGGCAGAAGAAGGCTTGTCCTCCTCCTCCTCCTCCTCGTCCTCCTCCTGCTCGTCCTCCTCCTCCTCCTCCTCCTTTTCCTCGTCCTCCTCTCCAGTCCTCCTCCTTCCCATCGTCCTCCTACTCGTCTCCCTCCTTCACCTCCTTCCCTCCTCTTCCTCCTCCGCCTCCTCCCCTCCTACTCGTCTTCCTCTTCGCCGTTCTTCTCCCTCTTCCCTCCTCCCTCCTCCTCCCCTGTTGCTCGTCTTCCTCCTCCCCATTCTTCTCCCTCTTCCCATCCTCCTTCCTCCTCCTCCTCACCCTAGTCCTCCTCCTCCTCCTTCTCCCCCTCCCCCTCCTCCTCCTCGTCCTCGTTCTCCCCCTCTTCATTTTCTTGCTCCTCCTCCTCCTCCTCCTTGCCCCCGTCGTTGTCCTGCTCATCCTCCGCATCATCTCCCCCTAGTCCTCTTCCATCGCCCTCCCCCTCGTCCTCCTCTTCCTCCCTCTTCTCCCCCTCCTTTCACTCCTCCTCCTCCCCTCTTCTTCCCCATGGGTGCCGAATCAGAGAACCAGATGCGTTGTTGCGGCCCCCCTCTCGCCAAACTTGCAGGCGAGGAGCGGATGCTCTTCGCGCCCGCCGATGCTGGGGCGAGCTGGCTGCCCAGCCGTTCCACCGCTTCGCCCCCCCCCCCAAATTCCGCCCCCGCGCCCTGAGCCCTCCCGACCATCTCTGCCAGACCACTCACTTACTCCGCTCCGCCTTCCCTTCCAACCCACCGCCGCCATCATCGCCATCACCATCATCATGTTGGCCGCGTTGCGGCATTGATTGTGTTGCATTTGCTGCAGAGTCTTGCCCTGCATTGCATTGCCATGCACCGTGCCTGCATTGCCGCCTCCGCAGCTACCTGCCCGAGCCTGGTCGCGTCTTCGCGCGCTCTGCAGGCAGACTTCGGGCGATCATGCCGCCCCGCCAGCGTTCGCCCACGCCGACGAGAGACTTCTCCGAGCCAGATGATGACGCACTTGAGGACGACTCGGCGGAGGATGCAGAAAAAGAGCAAGCCGCCAAAGACCTAGAGACGCACCTTCTGCAACTGTTCGCCCGAGGCGTCATGGGCGCCAAGTCCGTTTGCATTGCGTTCTACCACGCGCAAAGGGCTGGCGCTGGGGGAGGCAACCTGCGCGCGCATGCGAAGGGGCCTGGGCTCGCCTCGGGGAGCTACAGCAAGCACCTCATGAAAGTGCTCCCGTCGTCTAGCGCGGAGCTTGTCAACATCATGGTTCCTCTTCGCGTCGGCGGGGCACGGTCGAAGCGGCCAGTGCTGGTGGCCCCTCCCCATGAAGTGCTCGCACAAGAGCACGAATCTGACATCGCTGCGTTCGGCGACCCCGACGCCGTTTCGGACTGGGCCGACACGTGCGAGAACCACCCCTTCCGCCACATCGCGGGTGACAACAGGGACGTCGTCCCCGCCGCCATGTACATGGGCGGAATCAGGTACACCCACAGTACGCTGGCTGGGAAGCAGGACAGCCTGATCGGCATCTTCTGCTACAGCCTGCGCCGCCGGAACCGCCACCTCTTGGCGGTGCTCTCCAAGAAGGACATGTGCAAGTGTGGGTGTAAGGGCCACTGTTCGCTGTTTCCGATATTCAAATTTTCTGAAGCATTCCTTTGCCTTGGCAGCGCGTGGGCAACGCTCAGATCGTCAATGTGATGGCCGTGAGTGGCCAGCGGATTCAAAATGCTGCCAATTGTATGCAAGTTCGCCCCGCCTCAGTTCTAGGTTCCTTCTGGCGCAGATTAAAGGGGACTGGATGGAATGTTGCACGTCCTTCGGCTTTGCGACCTGGCAAAGTTTTCACCGCCCCTGCTTCTGCTGCCCAGTGAAAAAAAAACAGCTCTTTAATTTCGACACAGTCGATCTGAATGGTTTAACGTGGGCATGCCTAGGTCCTGATACATATGAGAATGAGTGCGGCGCGTGCGAAGTCCGCGCGCGCCTCACTACTGATGAGCAGAGGAACCAAATCCTGGTTGATGGCGGGCTGCGTTTCACTAAGAAAAAAAAGAAGGAGGCCGCGTGCTACGGAACGCCGTGGCATACCTCGGGCTGCGCGCGGGCGACAGGTTGGAACCGTCGGACGAACTGCCCGACATTGCAGATTTGGAAGATGTAGGCCTCCCAGTGGATATAATATTTTGGCGAGCGAACGAAGACAAGAAACGTCGCGTCACGGATTCTGTGCAGCGGCGCCGCCCCCTGTTCAGCGAGGAGATAGGGGTTAGCCCTAAAACCTTGCACCTGGACACTTTGCACACTTTGTACCTAGGCGTGTTTCAGACTTTTGTGTGCGCAGTAATTTGGAGGGCGCTCAAGAATGATAGTTTTTTGCGCCAACGCACCCACGATAGAAGAGCGCCACCATTTCGGCGCCATTCGCATATTCATGGACATGGAAGAATATTTCGCGCGCACTGAAGTGCCATCGGGCGAACAACTTGGGGAATTAACCATGGCAATGCTTGGTGCACCCCAGAGGCCAGAGCTGAAGACCAACGCGGCCGAAACTGGCCGATTGGTTTACTTGTCAGTAGATTTTCTCGAGCGCAGCTATAATGATTTGAATATCGGGCACTTGCTGCTCGAGGCTGGCAAATGCCTGACCAAGTACATGGACATTTTGAAAGATTCGCCTCGGGTTGTGCCCAAGGAGTCTTGCCGATCCCTCTCTCGCAATTGCCTGCGCTATTTGGCGTTGGCAAAGGAAGCTCGAGTGCCGTCTTTGCCGAAGGACCACCTTTGGGTGCATTTAAACTTGCAGGACCCCGATATGCGGGAATCCTCGCGGCCACGCAACGTTCTTGGATGAGTCCTTGAACCGCTACCTGGCAGAGATTGCGGCCAAGTCCCATAGGGCGACTTGGGAACGCAACATCTTTCGAAGAGTACACTTGCTGCCTCACGTTGCGCCGCATCTGGCGTTTGCTCCATTGTACATGTATGGCCAACTCAGATAACCTAGTCCGTGTGCGCCGTTGAAAAAGTGTCCGTTTGGCTCAATTCGCCATCATCGCCATTCCATCACCATCGTCCATCGAACCGTCGGGAGACCAGTTGACGAGACTTCGTTGCAGCTGCTGGCCCGCTCGAGCGCGCAGCAGAATGATGATTCCTCCGCGCAAGAAGGCCAAGGGCCCTTCCGCTGCCAGCGATGGCCCCGAGGGCGGATTGGCGCTCATGGGGGTTGACAAGGCGTCATTCGGGCCAGGGACAACCGCACCCCCCCCCCCCCCTTCCGCGTTTGTCCAGGAAGTTTTCGAAGGGCCACTTCACACGTGCAAAACTCCAAGGGAATACCTCGCCCCAAGCAAAAAAAAAAAACAAACCCCACCACCCGCAAACAAACCAATATTCTTAACGCGCCTCAGCCCCCCGAAGCCCCCCCCCCCCCCCCCCCCCCCCCCCCCTCCCTTCCTCAACCGAACCCCCAAAACACAAATCGCATGTCGCGCCCCCCGCCCCCCAACCCTGGCAACATAGCGAACCCCCAGGGGCGAAACTTGGACAAATCGTGGGTCGATGTCGTGAAGAAGCGCGTGCACTTCGTTGGTCTCCCTTCGCTTGTCATGATCAGCCCTTGTTGTGGCGTGGAAACACCGCTGTTGGCCCTCGCCGAACTCGGCATCAAGTGCAAGAGTTACGCGTGGGACATCGATGAACACTTGAGGGCCACGGTGGCCTACAGGGCAAACCATGGTTGAGCCAACACCTCCTCGTCCTCCTCCTCCTCCTCGTCCTCCTCCTTTTCTCGTCCTCCTCCTCCTCCTTCTCCCCCTCCTCCTTCTCCTCCTGTAGGCTCCTACTCTACCGCTTTCTACCTCCTCCTCCTCCTCCTCATTTTCCTCCTCTTCATCTTCCCTCTCATCCATTGTTTGTTATTGCATATCTGCAGGTGGAGCAGATTCATGGCGCGACGCAGAGCGGCGATAGCAGTACAGTAAACATAGGTGCTGTCGCTGGGGATTTTTTGCCAGACTATCTTGGATGATATTCCTGACGCGGATCTTCTCTGCGCAGGGCCCCCATGTTTACCCTTCGCTCGGACTGGGGCCAAAATGAAATGGACCGATCCACGAGCAGCACCTTTCATTCAGACATTGATGTGCATTCGCAACCAAGCCAACCGTCCTAAAGGACGGTTCAAGGCATTTTGCCTTGAAAATGTCTTGGGAATGCTCGACGCGTCTGGTGAGGATGACGGCGCCAGCGCCGCCCATGAAGTTCTAGAATGGTTGCGGCAGGAACTTGGCACGGACAGCTGGTTTGCGTGGATGTGGCGCTTGGGCGCCGCTAGCGCGGGCTTGAATCAGAGCCGCCCTCGCCTCTACATACGCGGTCGCCGTTCGTTCTTCTTCAATCAGCCTGGCCCGCGATTTTCCCCAGAAGACATTCGGGTATCGATGCTCAGAATGCGCGACGCGCCTGGCCCTGCCTTGCCATCGACGGAGAGGGAGACGCTGACGGAGAAACAGCTCGAGAACCTCGAGTGGTACTTGAGCCAGGTCCAAGCGATGAGGTGTGAAATCGATGCTTGGACACTCGCAGTGTTCGATTTGAACCGTAGCCCGAACGCGGTGAGAAAGCCGCAATATCGTGTAGACGATTGCTCGCATTGCCTCACTACCAAAAACACTTCGCTCTGGGTCCAGAGCGTTTCACATTCCGCCAACCTTGCTGAGTTTCCCAGGTGGTTAGTGCCAGAAGAAAGGCTGGTGCTTCAGGGCCTTCCGAAAGCCCTCGCAGCTGTGCTTCCAAACAAGACCAGCATCGTGACGGCCACTGGCAATGCCATGGCTCTCCCGCGCGTCGGCCTCGCCCTGGCATTTTGCCTTGATGATCGTTCGCCGAGGTTCGTGTCATCGCCGTGACTTTTTGGCGTGGGGCCTCTGCAAGTTTAAACCTGCAAGGCTGCGTCGCGCGTGCTGCAGCCCAGCATCCTCCGTTCAGCCAGTACCTCCACTCCGTATCAACATCCTCCATCCTCAACTCGTCCGACTCCGATCCTCCTCCTGCCGCCCACGAACCGCTAGTCGGTAATAGGCCTGCAGGCTCGGCCAGAGCGCGAGAACTGCCACTCCCTGCTGAGGGCCCTCGGAGGGAAGGGAAGGAGGAGTAAGGGATCAATGAGGAAGGAGGGAGCTGGGAAGGAGAGGGCAGTGAGGACGACGTGGGGAGGGAGGGGATTGAGGAGGAGGGCAAGCTAGGTGAGGACGATGAGAAAGAACACCGAGAGGAGAAAGGTCGGAACAACCCTCACGCATTTCATTGCTCACACGCAGGGTGGCACGTTTTGCGCGCCTTGATTTGCGATGTGTCGCCCTGAGGCCCAGACATTGTTAAGCGATCCACCTTCTCTCGAGCAGGCTGCGCAATGGGGCGTTCCAAAGCGGAGCAAATCCCCGAAGAGCCAAATATGGGCTTCGTTTCGCCAGAGCAGGTGCCTAAGACCTACATCGATCAATTGGTCGATCAATTGGTCGAACCCGTTTTTCAGACCCGAAGGCCCTGCACCCCTCCTGTCATCGCCCCGCGTTTCGCCCCCCCTCCCAGGCCCGAAGATCAGCCTGCCACCGACTCGAAGGATGCTGATCACATGGCTGCCGAGTGCGGCTTGGCGATCGTGGCGAAAGCCCCAACAGGCCCCAGCCAGGTGGGAGTCTTTGTTTTTAACGGCGGGGCCAAGGGAGAGGAGGGACGAAGGGAGAGGGAGGAAGGAGGAATGAAGGCAGAGGGAGGGAGAGGGGAGAGGAGAGGAGAGAGGGAGGGAGGGAGGGAGGGAGGGAAGGAGACATTGATGGGGGGAGGCAGCCATAGAGGGAGGAGGGAGGAGGCACTGAGGGCAAGGGGTAAGGAAGACCTACAGTAAACCGTTCCCATCGGCCTCATCGTTGAAACTGTGGCTCCTTCAGACTTGTGGGATCTCGGCGTGAGACGTTCAGAAGTCCGTGACATGACTATGGGGAGGGGCAGATACAGAGAGGATTTCATGATTTTCCAAGCTCCCCTTCAGGCCCAGTTTCAGCGCAGCCAGTCTAGCCAGCCGAGTCAGTCTAGCCAGCCGACTCAGCCTAGCCAGCCACAGCTCGAGTCCCGTTCTGAATCTAGCTCTGCCCAGCCTCGGCGCCAGCCGCCCAATGAGGAGGAGACGCCTCTTTCCCTTAGCGACGAGGAATT